TCCATGTCAGGTTTGCGTTTGAAGGTATTCAACAAATTGTCCATACGTCTAATGGCTTGGCAACGGTTATTTGGTAAGGTGACGTTGGTGTTTCGAAGGGGCAATGGCATTTCCCAGTTTCCCAGTTGATTCTTTTGGAAAAAAACTCAAACTCAAAAAGCGTTGATCCTCCACGGACATACTCTGTTCGTTATCAGAATCGGTGGTTAAGAAAATATTGTAGCAGTTCTTTAAGCTTTCACGATGTTCACGTATATCAAACTTGTTTGGACAGGCGGAATATTCGTGGTGTATTATGTCTTGGAAGGAATTGGTAAGAGGATTGTTATCCACTTTGGGCTTGCCAATGCGACCGTTTGTTTCTCGACAAAATGACTCCCGATACACGGTTCGATCTGTTCAAACGTGGACAGGTCCTCCTTCACGATTGAGGCAAACCTCTACGCAAATTGTCCAACCAATGGCCAATTTGTGTGCCCAAGGTGCCCCTTCATGTCCGTTACGAACTTCTCGTACTTTCGTCAGTTCACGAGAATCTCGGCCAATCAATAGCTGAACTTCCGCTTTCGTATTTAGTGGTGGGATTTCTTTGGCAATATCTTTAAGATGATCAAATTTCGCTATCAGTTCAGGAGTAGGTATTTCGCGCTTGTCTCTAGGGATATTATCACACTCAACAAGGGTGGGTAATTTAATTGATACTCCTGGCGTTGACTTTACAACCAGTCCTTGTACGCGTCGGCCGTATCGTGTTTGCAAAAAAGAGATAGTTCTTCTTTGGTGATGTATGTAAATTCATGAAGTTCCATCACAGAACATTATTATTATATATTATACTATCCTCACTAGAACTCATTGGTCGCTAGAACCACGTCGGTTCTCTCAATGTGGTCCTCGCTAGAACCACATTGGTTCTTATAGTCTGTATCTTCTCCACAAGAAAGTCAGTGAACTTTATTAGCTAAACTATATGCATCGTCATAAGAAGGTAATTTGTCTTTCACTTTTCAATCTCATCGACTGTATAAAACCAGACCGCTTGGTTGTGGGCATTCATCTATGAGTTTATCATAGAATTACATTTTAGTTTCATAAACAAGGTTATTTACTACATTGCATTGCTCAACATATATTTTTCTCTGCTATCGACTGATTTATTCTTTTTAGTTTTTATCTCGGTCGTATACCATTGTGACGACGGTAAAGTAACAATTTGTTTCTTACGTTGCGCCTTTTTTTAAATAATTGAAGACAATGTATTATCATAAAGAGCGAGAGTTTCAGCAACATTGTCAATATCGTCAAAATCTATTAAGGATGATCTCTTAATGTCTGCTTTAACACATTCTTTATCCACTGCTTTATTATTACAGTATGAAATTTCTTTCTGCTCGGGAGGTGGTTTCTTAATAAACTTTACTGCAGCTGCATCATTTGGGGACTGATTTAAAAACGGGATATTAAAGTCACCGAGAATCATAATTGATTTGAAATTAATAATCCCCTGCTCCAAAAAATTGCTAAATTTTTCCAGGGAAATGCTTGTTGTCATTCCATTTCCAGCAGATGATGATGGTCTATATATAACTATGACTCTAATAGTAAAGGTTGAATAATTCATCGTATAATCCGCTAATTCAAATGATCTAAAGGATGTGGACCTGCGTAACTTGGTCTTCAGCTTCAAAGATTGTTTATATAGAATATCAATTCAACCTCCTCTTTTCTCGCGAGATTCAAGCTGAAACAGATATCCTGCCGGACATATACTATTTAATATTGTGGAATGGTTAATCGCATCTGTATTTAACCATGTCTCAGTAAGTGCCAGTATATCAATTAATATCGCTGTCCACAACAAAATCTTTAATAGTTAATGCATTATGTTTATTGATCTTGCGTTAAGTAAACAGACATCAATCATATAGGAATTGGAAATACGATTCATCGGTATACAGGGAATTCTGATTAAATTTGATCTCTTATAATTTAGTGGTTCTATTTCCAAGGTTTGGATGTAATTGGGGCATTTATCCGTGAAAATATTTTTCCGCGTCCACACGTAAACACAAAAACGGCCCGAAAACGCTAAAGTTATTTGATCCCGCAATACACCTTCATGTTTTCCACCCACGTGTCACAGGTTGGATGTCGAATTCAAAGCAAAAATCAACCAAATCCAAGGTAAAAAACAAGAATGAGGACTTTGTTAGGACAGGAGACAAGCACAATCTCATAAATATTGTTGTTGAGTATCTATTAAATGCATGTCGTGTATAAGAAATTGTGTATAACAATACTCCGGCATTTTGAACATTTTCTCTCGTAAAATACTTCCGCAAATGCTACAAGAATTGCCGCAGATTTTACTCACCGTGAAAATAACCTAAATAAGACTTTTTTGAGGCTAATATAGCAATATAAAGTTGAGCATAAGCCACCAGACTTAAAACAAGCCTCATTAATATGGAAACGACTTGATACGTGACGTCATCGTTTTTAAATTTATCCGGCAAAGCCGTCCACAGTCCACACGTATCCGCTCAGCCGTCGTTTTCAAATTCTTCCACTCTGGAGAGCGTTTTCAGATTCTTCCGTTTTCAGTGGGCGAAAACGCCGTATACGTGTGGACGGTACGCGTAACCGTAAAAATATGCTTGCGTTTTCAAATTCTTCCGGCTTCGTGTGGACGGGGCCTAAGTGGCGAGGGATTGGTGTTGTTCAGAGGTGCTAGAGGCTCCGCAAAGTTTAAATTCTCAGGTGGAAAAATATGGGGATAATTCACGTAGGTAACATAATATTGGTATCTGATCGGCATATAGTAGATGAAAGGTTTTGATAATGCATTGAAGATTGATTGTGAAAAGGGAATATTTGACAGCGATCTTGATAAAACTGGTGAGACTGTGTATTAATATGAGAAATGTCACATCTCAAATTTTTCAAACAGTAACCTTATTAAGTCATATAAAGTTAGCTAGGTCATATTAATAATCATATCTAAAATCATATCATATATCTAAAGGAAATCATATCTAAAGGAAATTGGCTGGAAACAACTGGTACAAAATAAAGCAATGTCTATATGTACAATGTTGCATGACCAAAGTATGGCAAATGCTTAGGAAAAATTTCAAAAATATTAGCTGAATTATAGTTTGAATTAAATATATAATATTTCAAATACTTTTAAGCTGAACTTAAATCAGAATTTGCATTGTGACAATTTGAAGTATTTTTTTTAAGAAAAGCATTAAACAAAACAGGTATATTTCCTACTCTATCTAACTTACTAATTGGAATGAATTACTATCTGAATTCCAATCTAGTGGTGCTTCATGGCAAAATGTATCTGCTATACTCAGAGACATGAACATAAATAAAGTGGGTGCTGCTAAATTTTTAGACGCAATGGTCAGCACTCATGCAGCCCTTTGCAGGTCCATTAATTATGAGGAAGGAAATCATGATATTTGCAGCAATAAATTTTACTGTTCTTAACAAATCTGCAATAAAGTGCAAAAAGTATATAGTAAAATGTCCCATGTAAGTAAAATGTTCCATTGTTGTAATGATCTGTTTACTGTCATCATGTCATGTACTGTTTTTTTATACCCATATTTGTCATCATATGTTTCGAAGCAACCAAGTATAAATCAATTTCTTACATCAGGAAAAGCACATCCCATTGCATTCCTGAGTTTACTGGATCTTTTTATCCATACATGGTAACAGGTAAATGATAGCAGTGTATATAAAACTACAGTCTACAGCTCCAATTATGAGTATAGTTTCAGTTAATTATCTCTGACAAATACCAAGTCGCTAATTATACAGGGGAAAATTAGGCTTTTAAAGTTAGTCTTCCCTCACTAGATAATTTCTAAAGCTAGTTTAAGTCAAACCGGAGTAATTTTGGGGGCACCTTGTAGACTGCATTAATATTTACTGATTTAGAAAATAGTTTTTGACATCTCCTTCGAGCTTTTGTACTGTTTCCTCTGAAACAAGGTTTAATATGTACTCCAATATTATGATTGTTCTTTGTACAAAATGATGAGAAATCATGAAATGTAGACCTACGTCTGGCTATATATAGTCTTCAGAGAATTCTGTTTTTTAAGGAGTTTATTAAATTTCACCTTTTATTATCATAGATGGCCCATACATGCACGATATATGCCAACGCTTCAAATAGAAAATTTACGTAGGGCCAAATTACGATCTACAACGCGGTCAGCTCGACGTCGCTAGTCAATTTTATTCTTGAAATACGCTACCGGAAGCATGCAGTGGCGTAGCGTTTAGTTTAGATTCGGTTTCGTTATGCAAATTTTAAGTTATTGTGAGCATAAGACAATCGAAAGGAAAAATTTCCTTCGATAGTCTATGTTACGGTATATACTGAGTGTATGAATATACACCCTCCCAATTAAGCGGTCTAGCAACGGCGCTGATGTCTTTTTTCTGCAATCAACAGCATTTTGATTGCTGAAATTCTCTTTCATTCGTAGCTATTGTGTGTGTAATCCGTTTTCGTAGCCATTTTGTGTAAGCTTGGTAAAATAGTTGCCAATGTTTGCTTAAACAGCGTTTGGCATTTCAATTGATAACAAGAACAGTATGCAAATAATATTTTGCATGGTAATATAACAATATAACCCGAGCCTTCATCAGTGCATGATGAAGAATTGCACTAAAGGCGCGGGTTAACGGACCGAAAGCTTTGCAGTAATAAATATTTACGTGGTGTACCCACAAGCTGATAGAGCAGTATAAACAGTGCGAGTTAAGGGGTTGTTCACAAACCCATCGAAGAAATAATTAATTGAAATTAATTGAAGAAATAATTAAACAAATTCGGACGCTATAACAGCACAAAATCGTGATAAAATAGTACTGAATTATGAAGTTTCTATTATTTTATTATCGCTTTCGATTTCGCCTTTCCAAGTAAGCTTCGCAATTAGGCAGAAGCGGTTAAAAGGTCAAAATCTTACCTGCAGCCAATATTCACAACTGATCTTTTATAATTCCTTCGAAAATATCGTTCAGCAGTTACAGCTACTTGCAAGCCACTGTTTACCGTGAAGTTTTTATCCCGTTCAGGTGGTAACGTTTGTTTCAGTCTTTCAGACTTTTAGGCAGGGCACAGATTACCTGTGATCTGTGGCAGAGGTTTAACGGAGTTGAGTTTAACCGGAACGTCGACAATTGGGCGGAACCTGTCAAAACTGTCGAAATATCACAGTGTAACCTGATTTGTTTATAGTTTAACATTCAACGTTTGACCTTTCCGGTTAAACCCGAAAGTTTGAAACGTAAACAGACGTGATAAAAACTTCACGGTTAACAGTGGCTTTCAAATAGCTGTATTAAATTCGTCCTGTGTTTAAATACAAACAACAGTAATGACCAGAGCCCAGAGGAGGTTGGACAGCTGTCACGTGAATTTCTCAACGAATGAGAATGCGCTATTTTTCGATCGCACTTGCGAAAAAATTGAGGGAAAAATTTTGCTCGGGATTTAGAAATACCGAAAATTCTAGTAAATTTATGAACGTTAGGTAACTAAAACAAGGCTGCTTTGAGAGAAGGGAAGTAAAAACCTATCGATATATGCAAAATTTATTGAGATAACGTTTATGGCGATTGAAGTTGGAACAATATTACATTTAAGGGGATCCAAATGTAAATGCAAATGTACCATTACATAGTCTCTTATATTTCGATATAATTTGATGTTTTTTTAATATTCTTGTACGTTTGCATGGTGACAATCGATAACGGGCCTTAACGGACCGAAAGCTTTGCAGTATTGTATACTTACGTGGTGAACCTACAAGCTTAATTACTTATTAAGTTTTTCTGTTCTGATTTTTCGTTTCGTCAGATCAAATTTGGCTGACCAAATTTGACCAAATGATATTTAAGGTTTTAATGCCATCACTGCATCCCATTCAAATTTGTCAACATGTGAGTGAATGCTGTGAAACCACTGTTAATAGAATATACATGGTTTGGAGACCACATAAAACTACAATACAAACTCGATCATTAACTATGTTGAGGTAGATTTATGCAAAAAATTGTTCCTGTCTCATCAAACCAATAGCAATCTTATAATTAACATATTTTTCAAGTCAAGGTTGAGGAGCTTAGCTAGGCGAATGCCATTGGTACGTCGGTCTAAAGCCGGTTTTCCACTAGCGATATTTTTCGCGCGAATCGACATTTTACTTTTGTTCCAGAGCTCTCAAAAGCAACCATCTGGGACAAATTGCTCAAACACAAAGGAATAAAGTTGCTTCGCGCGAAAAATATCGCTAGTGGAAAACCAGCATAAAATACAATATACTCGTGACGAGAAAGGAACCATTTTTTCATAAACCTGGACAATAACATAGTTAATGAGTTGTATTGTGCTTTTATTTAGTCTCCAAACCAATAAAACCAATGTCCATTGTCAATTGTGTGTGCTGGCCGCTGGTCAGCAAATTGCGGGCGTATTGGTTTCGCGCAGTTCCTGATATGCCTAGGAAACGCTATTTGCTTTCCACAGTTGCCAATAATTAGCATTATGACCACCCCAAGTCTATCCAATTTCAAATCAAAACGTTTTCCAGCATCTTCGAAGAGGTGTGAAAAACATTTTACCTCTTCAGCAACATAAGAAAAGATATTTTGCATGCTAGATCGTAAAGCTAATTTTGGTACGTGGGAATAACTGTTTGTTTAATTTTCAGGGCCGAAGCTAGACCGCTTAATCCAGAGGTGTAATTTATTCATTTATTCATAGTTACGTAATAGGAATAACTGCGTAAAAAAGGTCATAAGAAGAACACATTTCTGAATATATTCCCGGGCCTAATTAAGCTTCTACCTGCAAATAGAGTTTAGAAGGATGTTTAGGCCCGTTTACCGACTTGCAATTTTGGCTGCGATTTTATGTTCAATTTTCTACTTTTGATAAATGGAAATGAGTAAATAAGTTACAGATGTAGAAAATAAGAACACTTATACATTAGAACATTCATAAAGTTTTGCTCGTTTCCATCTGTCAAAAGAAGAAAATCGCAGCAGAAATTGCAAGTGTATAGAGCGGGTCTTTAGCTTATTATAAACATTCTGACTTTAAAATTAGTTCGTTAAATTCAAAATGATGATTGATTGAGATGGCCAAAATATCACGAGCGTTGCTAAAAATTCGAAAAATATAACAAGAACGAGTTTTTGAGTGTCATTTTTAGCAAAAAGACTACAGAGAATTTACCTGAATGAATTCATTTTCTGCAAAGCTTATCAGCAAATGAATGAATGAACTTCACGGAATTATTAAACTTAAATTAGAGAATTGTAAAGAATATTATTCTATGGCGAAACATTAACGATAATTTAGGTGTTTGTGAATGTTGCATGAAAATGTTGCAGTTTCCATTCTGTCTGAAGTAGTGATGTAATATGGGCAGTGGAGCGTGGTTATAACATGGCGGTGCAGCACGAACACTTTTAGCAAGGGAGCCCGAGCACCAATCAAACCTCTTTTGGAGTGTGGTGGAGAATGGCGGTGAAGAACGGTCTCTTTTGGGGTGGGGCGCGGTGGAGTTAATAACGCGCTAAGGCATTATTATAGGTCATCAGCATACTGAACAGTGGATCAGATAAGTCTATGCAATTAAATAGTTTTAAAGTGTTGGCACTATCCAGCAAACTAAAACGACATATCATTGATATCAAGTGTGTACGTTCTGGGGAGAAGTCGTTTGCCTGTGAGATCTTTCACTATCCCTAGGTAAACGCTGTCATTGACATAAAAGAATTCATGATCACGAAATGTCCCACAGAGTGTCAAAGGTGTCAAAAGAAATCCAGTCAAAAGCTATGTTTATATTTTACGTAGTCTAGACTGTGCGAATTAGGTGCTATACCATACGATATTTAGGCTATACTATAGGCATAGCGTTTAAATTTACCATCAATCATCAATCATTATACAACGACATGAGGCCGAACACAAATATTCCAGCATTAAAAAAAATCTAGTAAAACGTTTCAAAACGCATTTTCTTTACAAACTCAGCTGCAGGACATTCATGTATGATACATCAAGTCGGTGGTGGCAAGCGTAAAACGACTAATGTTTAGTCAATCCAAGCGAAACAAAAGAAAATGGATTATGGTAAGTTATAGGTATATAAGCAAAAAATAACTTTTTTGCGGATTTTTTCATTCTCGGACTGATAAAGGAGGAATTTATCGACGATGAAATCAAGGAAACAGGAGTATTTCGATAAGCTATTAATGAAATGTTTGTAAGAATTGATGAGACATTGAAGGTTGAAAAAGACAGTTGATCAGATAAGTCTATGCAATTAAATAATACTAATAGTGTTGCCAGTACCGTGGGGGTGGCCGTAAAGGCATAATTACCAAAAATCGCCCTTTTGGAGACGCAGTTCAATATGAACCCTTCTGGGATATGCTGCTATTGATGAGAATCAACAACTTTCGGATATAGATAAACTTACCTATCTACGAAATATGTTAGACGGGCAGCTGCATTACCTATACGTGGACTACCATCGACTGCAAATAATTACGTGTCAGCCAAAGAAATTCTTAAGAAACGGTTTGGACAAAAACAAATTGTGATTAACGCCCATATCGAAGGCCTTGTAAAGTTATCTCTTTGATCTGAAAACACTTAGACAACGCCAATAAAGAGGGAGCACAACAGGTGTTACCGATGAGAAACGACAAAGCGTGTTTTTATTGTAAGAACTGTAAGATTCGGACTGAAACTATCCTGAGGTATATTTTATTGATATTTTATCACAATACCGGGCTGAATTTTCAGCCCTGTAAGCCGGGCTGAAATACCATGAGCATGCAGGTTACCACCGGGATTTTATTTGACACTGGTAGTCAAAGGTCTTATATATCCAGTAGGGTTAGAAATATACTAGCTTTGAAAACAATAAGAGTAGAAGAGGTTGTGATCAAAACATTTGGGCAGTCTGAGGATAGTGAGGGGCAAAAGCTTGATGTAGTTCAACTTAAAATTAGAAATAAGAACAATTCTGAGTTCACATTTGTAGAGGTCTTATGTGTTCCCTCTATTTGTAGCCCTCCCTCTAACTAAGTAGCCCCTTTAGCGATTGGTACAAAATACCTGAATTTGCAAGGCTTATCAGGATTATCTCCGAGTAGGAATTTTAATTGGCATAGATACAACATTTTCGTTAGGCATAGGCGTTTTGTTTTCATTCATAATTTTTGTTCGGTATCTTGCGTAGAGCTTCGTGAGTTCTGGGACAGTTCTGAAGAGCTCTATTGCGCAGTCGTCTACCTGCGGTTAATTTATGACAGCTTCAAGAGCAGTTGCTCATGAAAGAACAATCGAAATGTGATAATCTGTGTGCAGCATTACGGTTATTCGAAGATACGGACGGCCCCTTGTATTGCATACTGATTATGTTACATCAATTGTTTAACGAATCTAAGTTAATGGTAAAGAATTAATATACCTAATATTTACAAAATTTACAAATTATGTGATCGGAGACACATTGCCGGAAAAAAGCAATTATGTTTGTTAACCCGTGACGGTGGTATAAGGTGATTAAGGCGTGAACGGTGAATCTAGCTGTCGCATTCTATCAAAAGTTTTTAAACACAAAGCATCGCGTCTTGCGTGCAATGTCGAACATTTGGCTTGATCTAGAGCTGCATCATAACTTGATGTGGGATAATTTATTCGCATTGTCCGCTTTGGACCCGTTCATTTTTTCTGACTAGTTGATAGTTAATGATGAATGCCATAGATCTATTCCAAAAAGAGCAAGAGGTCTGTGTCGGGTTAGATGAAAACGAGGCTAGTTACATTTTCTCTCCTGAATTTAAAATTATTTTGTTTATTTTCTCACTATGTCGTTGGAACTGTTGCAAGCTACAGATAAACAAAGTTTGTCTTTGATGCTTTGATTACTATCTCTATGTGTAAATCCCAATACTTTAATACTTTGTTGGATTCTATTCTTTAAAGACTGATGTTTGCAACAACTAGGGCGCGTGGGGGTTGCTCTATTTCACGTCCAAAAGAGATAAACATCTCCTTGCACTTTTTTGAGTTTAATTTCATATTATTGGAACTTG